GATTGCAACGGTGCAATGAAAATACATAAGTGATGCAACAGTTGCTGAGATCTACATTATAAAAGAATCAAGTATTCCATAGATTTTAATAGATTTATTTTAAAAACATCTCTCCCACACATGTTATTCACATTTACATTTCTTCCCTTCTTTAGGTCTTGCCACACATTGTTTCCTTGTGGCAGGATGTCACATCCTCCTAAACCTTAAGCCATTGTCACTGCAGTTAGGAGTCTGGTATTATTATGCCATACTACTTCTCATTCCCAATCAATCAGTGCAATGTTTTTTAAAGCTATTATGGCACAAATTAATGCATTAACTAGTTCCCTCGTCTTTTCTCAAAATCACTTTATCCCATGCTGTATTCTAGTAGGGTTGTGCTAATACATTAGATAATTTATACAGTAATTGAGCAATTGCTATGGCTGGCTTCATAAAATTACTACACATAGCCAGATGGCACTGACATTTCATTTGGTAGCTTAATCCTATTGCACAACCACTGAGTTTATTGCAATATCAAAACAAACAAAACACTATGACATATTTTGAGTACTTTGCTGGAGAAAAACATGTATTGGGTAATGTATGTAATCCAGCTGAGCTGGAGTTCACAGTTAACCCTCCACCGATTAACTGTGTTCAATATGAGCTTGCTGGCATTGTGCTGAACAAGCTCCAGCTCCAAATATTCAATCATCTAAACAATGACAAATATTCAATTAGAAAAACACAAGCAGTTGGCATAGCCTCACAGCTCAGCCAAAAAGCCATCGTAGGCAATAAGCATTTTTCACAAACACAATATGCGCCTCCTTACTGAAAGCAAAAATTAAAAGCAACACGTCAGCTGGCAAAACAATGCAATCCTTATACAAATAATAAGTTGTTTAAGAGGTAACATAGTATTAATAAAAGTTAATAGTAGTATTGCCTCTCTGCATATCCACCACTCTTGTATAGCAGCTCTATGGGGCTACATATTTCTAAGGTGTTTTGTATCTCGGCTATACTGCATTTTGGACGTTGGATCATACTTAAAAAATGTAATGCCTTGAAACCAGCACATTTGGGTTAATTTATACATTTCCAGATCAGTATCAGTAAATAAGAAATAAATGAGACATACAAGGTGTTTTATATTGGCATTAATTTGGATATGCGACTTCAACTTGCCAATGAAAATATCACATTTCCTCCCTCTGTTTTGTCTGCAACACTCTCTCTCCCCTGGTACCAAGTACTACAACTGTGCCCTTTTCTCTGCTGCCAGAAGTAAATAAGGCTTAAGTTACAAATCACTTTCCACACGTGGAAGTATAGGTATGTACTGTATACCCATATGCAAATAGAAACAGTTTCTGCTGAAGAACACCACCACTTGTACCACCCATCACTTGTAACATGCACTACATAAACTCAATGATGCAATTCACCTTTGAAGACCTTGAGATACTGAGCTTGGATCGTCATCCAGATCATAACTTAAGCATTGCCACATCATCTATATCCCATACTCATTATATTTTCATACTGGAAGGATATCACTTGTTATTAGTCTCATATCATTACCCCACTAAATTCCAAGTGCTGCATGTCTCAAATGTACTAAAATGAACTTGTGGACTTTTCTTCCCTCCAATACATCACTAACCTCCAACAATGTTATAGGTTTCGTGCTTAAACTTTCTCTCTCTCGCTCTCTCTCTCGATATATATATATCCTTATATTTCATTCACAACCTTGCTTGTAAGAGGAATGTGTTGCCCAGGAAAGCTTTGCTCTATAAATTATCTGACCTCCTCTCTCTCTCCCCACTGCCCTGCATGAAATCCTACTTTATGTCCCAGCAGTTTCTTCATGCTACTATATGATAGTCTTATTGCTTTCGGCACTTTATAATTCCAGATACACTTTCCACCCATACAATGTTGGAGATTAGTGATATATTGGAGAGAAGAAAAGTCCACAAGTTTTCACTTTTCAATATATAGTGTCATCTGGTAGAAAAACAAGGAAACTTATCTAGTTTGTCTAACTGCTTTCCTCCCAAATACATCCAACAAATAAAATGACAGATTAAAACTGCAAAAAATAAGACATCTTCAAGATTTATCCTTTTCTCCCAATTTCCTCTGTTCTTTTGAAGATGCAAATAGATTCTAGAATATTGTTCTTAAGGCACTGTCACCCTCCAGCAACTTACTGAAATGTTTATTCTTTATGCACAAGCCCAAACAATATGCCCTGACAGGATTTACTACTATAAAGGCAATACAGTTAGCAGCCTGTCCTCACCCAATACTTAAGACACTCACTTTTGAGTTGGGGGTCACTGACAACAATCAGGAAGAGAAACCTGGTTGATTTTCTCTCTGTCCCCAACCAACCCGTCCATCCTTATCCCAACCCCCAAGGTCTTGTAGCATCACTGCCAAAGAAGGAATCTGCCAAAGAATAACAGGAGCTTCAAGATCCACCTGGGCTCAGGCAGGCCGGAGCTTCAATATAACATATAATCCAAAAGATGGTATTCTGACAATCCCATGACGTCTGAGTACTGCACTGTTGAGCTGAAATCTAACATAAAACTACATATTTTTTGCACAGAAGGAGGCCATTTGGTCCACTGTGCTTGTCTGAGATTGGGTAGAACACACAACCTTTTGACCCAGAGATGAGAATGCTACCAACTGTGCTAAATTTTATGTGTCAGAGTACTCTCGCCTCTGACTCAGAAGGTTGTGAGTTCAAGCCCCACTTCGGGACTTGAAATCTCATAGTCTATCCTGTGAGGCGCTTGGAGACGTCTCGTCGACGTGATAAGGCACTATAACAAATATAAGGATTAATATTATTATCTTAATCTGAAGCATTCTATTCCATACGTGGTAGTGACTTTATTAACTGAGCCAGAAAAAAGCAGAGAAAAACGGCCTTTGCACGTCCCCTCCTGTATTCACAGGTATTGTGTGCTTTACAATTCATACTTTTTTTTAAAAAGGGAGAAATTCCACCTGCTTCCAGATTTATCTAGTTATGCAATACTTTGCAGTGACCAGAATTTGGCAAATCCTTGCAAAATCATAATTGTGAAGCAAACTTGCTTAAAATTCTTAAAACTTCAACTTCCCAAGTTTTGAAGACTCTAAAATGCTAAATAAACAGAGGAAATCTAGACCCAGGCGGAATTTCTCCCCATTGATTTGCATCACAAATGTCATTACTGGTAAGTGGGAGACAGCCCACTATTGACCAATTTTGACATTTGAAACAAAATAGAGTTGGAATTAAAATGACAAAGATTCTTTTAGAATAAAACCCAATCCTCACAATGTTATTTATAATTAACTTGGATTCCCAATTTCCCTTTATCATAGAATCCTTTACCTCTATAAAAGCTGCCTTTTCCCCTGCACCCTCATGATAAAAAAAGGTATTTCTACAAATGAAAAGCAACTCTAGGTATCTGGAAGAGCCTTCTGAGTGAAGAACTGACTGCTAAAGTGTCAACTGAAGGCAGAAAACTGTGTCAATTGTTTGCTCTCACCCTCTTCTGAATTTACCGCTGTGAACTTCACATTGAATAAAAAATTCCAATCTCACTCAACAGCAACTCAACTGGTTTGAAGTACTGGGACAACAAAATTATAATTTTGATGGTCATCTTATTTGGTGCTGTGCAATTTTGATCTTTCGACATTCAAATAACATTGTAGAATGATTTATTTGCTATCTACATTTCAGTTCAAATGAACACATTAATGTAACCTCCAGAAGTTTTGTTTTTTGCAAACAGTCTGCATTTATGATACACAATCACTGTACTTTTGGCGAACAAACAAATTTGAAGAGAATGGGGAGAGGTCAAACATATGTGGTTTGTCATTTTCTGAACTTACTTGTGCATTTTATTCATAGAAAGCAATGCATAACTTTCCACATTGTATTAAATATTCTATAGTTAGAAGTAAATAATGCAATCTATTCCATCTTATATTATACGACAAATTATTCAAACTACAAAGTGATCATTCAGAGGGTGTTAAAGCAGACCCAGAGCGAAAGCCACTGTATCTGTAAGAACATTCCTTTTGCTGATCTGGCTTCTACCAAGCATCCGAAGCTTGCTCTGTCTGCATATATCTTTATTACCTAACTCACTTCATGCAGAAGCTGTTTTAAAATTATGTCAGTCCAGTTCAGTGGAAGACACAAATAACACATTGTTAAGGTTTAATGACTTGGGGCTATAAGCCACAAAGAAATTAAAGTCCATAGCCTCATACTTATCAGCTGTAAAAATCGAGCAACCTTACCAGTGATCATTTATCGGTCGTCCACACCGCTAAGGTTCAGAGCACAATGAGCCTAATTAGTGGTTTAATAAGTGTGTTACTTGTGCCCTGTGCGGGTCGATGGTGTCACTGAATGTTAAATTAAAGAGAACTCTCTTCTTGCATTCATTAAGCAGTTTAATGCCAGCTGGCAAGGAAGCCTCATCTAAAATAAAAAAAAACTAATAAATTGGTATTTCTATTGAGATTGCCCTACAGGCCATGCATTTTTATGTCCTTAATCATTATTAAATGACTTAACATGACACTCAAAGCTAGGAGAATGATTGCACCTCGATGCCTGTATGAATTACAGACAAAATGAAAGATCATGTGGTATTAAGTGTGTTGCCTTTGGGGGTAGAAAAATCTTTAATTGTATTTTATTATTGACATCCATTTTCCATTGCGAATAAAAAATATTGAAGCACGGAAGTTCTGTTTCTTTTTTTAAAAAAGCTGATCCTGGGGCATTATAGTTCTTTCAACATTAATCATGACTGTTTTTGCTACATTGTTTGACACTGCTGCATTCCTGCTTCTCTCCACTTCACATTCAGCATTCTTTTAACATGAGGTTAGCCATGCAACCCACATTCTTGTTCCAGAATAACAAATCTAAATTGGTTATGGAAGTCGTATTAACACGATAACCTTACCTGTGGCTACTATGGTGTCCTCTTTACCTTGGGTGAAAACTACAATACGTTGTCGCTTTTCATTCAGCTTTGGCAAAGCCTGTGCTTTCTTGGCAATTTGTTTAATATCTTCGGTCTGTTAGCAGAAATGCAAATAGGGTTATGTAATTATTTTATTAAAACACATTGGGACTAATTTGGGAACTCACAGTTCTTCTACATTATAATGTTGAACATAAGTAACTCTGGGTCATACAGATGCTGCATATTGCTGTGGTAACTGTTTAATGGACTAATGAGAGAACATACTGAGGCTTCTATAGCATGGAAGAACATTGGAATGAATAGCTGCGATTTTATTAACGGCACATGATTTAAGCTGAAATGATTTCTAGCAAACAAACACTCGACAAATAAAAGATATCACAGTAACTTGTAAATGGATGGATCGACCATCTCTCTCTCCACTTAAATATTAATTGTCCCTCATTGGATGTTCACCTCAGTTTCTTGATTATCCAGCAGGCACTGCCTGAACAACCTACCATCTATCTTGTTACAGTCAGTATTGCTATGTTTCAACAGAAGATGTGCTTCAGGGGAAGAATACCCTCTGAAGTAACTACACACTTTGCCCCACGAGCACTACTCATCATGACTACGGTGGAATACCAGTTGAGGTGGGATTCAAACTTGAATTCTCATATTCTGTTGTTGGAGGCACTGGGTGATTATAAAACTTTTCTAGTTTACCTGCAAGGTTACATGTTCAATTGTAAGGCTATTGAAATGGTGACAATTTGCTTGTCATGTTAAATTTGAAGAGGAAGGATTTGATTTGCCATGAAACAATACAATAACTCTTAAAAAAGTTTGTTCTTTCATGGGAAATTAAATTTTTTTCTCAACCCAGTGATTTAATAAGATCTGCACAATTTCTCACATTGTGCTTCTTTTGAGCAGTGGTGTTGCAGAAGTTAGCAAATTTGATCAAAAGGGCAATATCATTCCTAATATTAATCATTCCAGTCTATTGCTCTTTGACACTCTAACAGCAAACATCACGAACTGTTGCACGATTTCATTAGTCTATCAAGGTTAATTTACTAATCTATGGGTACTGATTTAAATAATACACCACTGGGAAGGCGACATTTACATGTTAGGGCCCAATGCTCCCAAATAGTTCACCCTCAGAACAGGTGCGTAAAAATGTACTAAGCCTTTACCCTTATTTTCTGCAATATAAACGCACAAACATCTTTGGTCCTTACTTTCTGTACAGCTCCCAAATAGCAACCTGACAGAGTTAGTCCATTGTCCAATAGTTAAACAATAATGCGCATAATATCATATATTTAGTATAAGTGGAGATCCAAGCACTTGACTATAATAGCACTTAATTCACTAAAGTCAGGGCACACATTTTACTTATCAAAAATGAAAATAAGATGCATGAAAACACTTGAAAAACAATACTTTTACAAATGTAAAATTAGTGAGTGCCTTGGTTTATTGTTAAATTCTTTCCAGTTTTCTGCTCAATCAAGAGTTATGGCAATTTATTACAGGAGCACTAATAATTGTATTGCTAATTACATTTAGCCCCAAGCTAATGAAATTCACAGCTGCATATGTTCTGCTACCTGTAGTTGAATGTATCACTGATTAGGGCAATATGTGGATTAAATGCTCAAAATAAGCACCACCGCTGGATGATTTCATTCTGAATAACCATCAAAAAGGTAGCTGTCCCACTTAGCAGTATAATGCCTCAAAAATGCATATGTGCATTCTTAGAGAACCAGACACAATCTTTCAGGCTTGCATTAAATAGCAAGCGAGTCATTAGTATTGAGAGTCTTCCACTATGGACTGCAAATTGCTCTACCTGCGTAAGAATCTTTTCATAATAAAATTAAGCGAAAGAAGTTGCTATTTCATAGTCAAAATGACAGACACGTTGTCTGCAGAGGAAGCCTTAACCAGTGCTCAAGCTCTTAGCTTCCCAAGAGCCTTTTCAAAATTCAATAAATAACATCTGTAAGCGATGTTGGGTGCAGGCCTAGCACAGTGCGTCATACATCATGCTGGAAGAACAAAGAAACCAGGATGACTGCCAGGTAACCATAGCAACAATTGCAAGGACTGGAGAGTATAATAGCACATCAATCACTGTCCAAAGAACTTCATTATCAGCAAAATCCTTTAGGATCTGTTTAGTGTGCAATTGAGGGTCAACTTACCTCAAAGCCTTGCTCTCCACCAAAAGTGGCAGCCTCCTGCAAAAGAAATGAGCAGTTAATTATAAAGTGCTGCCGCAATTGAGGAAAATAACACAATATAGAAATACGGAGACACTGCTTACTGAAGCCAATTAACCTAGGCATTGCTCCATTACATAACTACAGTGGTGGTTGATTCATCCTGCTTGATAAATTCAATTTATTCTTAAAACAGCTGCAAAGGAGCTAAAATACAGGATCAGGTTACAAAACAGAACAGTTTTTTTTAAAAAGCACTATCCTCTTGGGTTCTGCTGATTGGTATAAGCTTGACCAGGTTAGCCTAAGCCAGTGTTTGCACAAAAATTCAATTGGATGTCATATAGAAGCCATGATTGAGGTTAGCTGCTCAATATAATTCACAGCACAATCCCTTTTGGTCATTGCTTGTGTTTTGGTGTTTGTGGAATACTAGCAAAGCATTCTATGTAACAAAGATCAGGGCCTTTGCTCTTGAAAGGAGAGAGGNAAAAAACTACTGTCATAAAGCATTTACTCATTGCGAAACCTAAAGTTCCATTCAAAAGTGAAAACAATTCTAAGCCACACATCAATCCGAGAGGTTTCGAACAGTTAGAAAATCTGGCCATATATTATAGAATAGAGAGAAATGGGCTTGGTAGTGTCAGGGCAGAATGGGAATGAAAACAGTCTAATGCAGTTTCTGAAAATGATCTTACAGGGTGAGATAGACAGACAGAAAGGCCTTTTTTTGCTGTGTTCACTTTCGACACACAGTCAAAAATATACCACCAAAGAATTTTAAGAAACACTGTAGAATTAATAGGTAAAGTGCAAGCTACTAATAAATGCAACCTTATTAAATTGTACATCTCATTTGGATATGCAAAACACTATTTGTGGACAATCAAGTGATGGTTAAAGTGAAGCTCAGTTGATTTCTAAACAATTCAATAGGTCAGATATGACCACTGGGATAATTTAAATAACTCAACCATGTAAAAAAAACAATGAATCTCAGATCACATAAATGAGAGATGACAGACCCTTTCACACTGCCCAAAGGCCACCTCACACAAAGCTCTTGCACATCAAAGTACTACACACAGAGCTATGATCCATCCAGCAAGTCTGTTCATGCACAAAGATGCAAGTTGACACAAAGGTGGGGCACTTGTATGGATTGTTATTGTTCTGCTAAACATGTTTAACAGTAATTCTTCTTCTCTGACACCAAGAAGCAGAGGAAGCCATAAATGACAACAGACCAGGTTGTAAGATACACAAAACTCAAATGTTTTCTGCACCCAAAAAATCACCCCCCTCCAGTCAACGGTCATCTCTGCTCCTTCAAATCCCAAAACCAGTTGCTCAAGTACAGATGGCACAAAACCGGTTTCACAGTTCACTGTCAACAGTGGCTCGAGCATCTTCATACCTACTGGTTATGAGTGCACTGAAATTCACATACTTTACAAATTGTAATAGTTGGCAACACAGACAACTGTGTTCAAAACTTTCCAGAGAACTTTGGCTCATGGAAAGTTTTCTTTAAAATTAAAAACTACAAGCCAAATTTCTGTGGAAAGTTTTATTGTACAGCTCACATTGCCAAAGCAAAGCACAGCAGTTTAATCAAAGCTGAAGGCATTACATGAAGGAGAAGCAATTGCTCGTATAATGCAAGCATTTAATATTGTTAAAGTTAACAATGCACGCGTCACCACTGCCGTGCCCGAGGGCAATATTTAGAATTATATTAGCGGAGGCCGATGCCTCAATTGAGATCAGTCACATTAACCATCGCTATAGCACTGGAAAATTGTAAATACCACAGAATGCCGTTCATCCCTAATTACCTGTACATTTACATGTCGAAGCAGTCAGAGGAGCTAAAGCAGTGGCTCTTAATTTACAATGTGAGCAATTAAAAGTATATTGCAGCTCCAAAAGGAGAAGAAATATAAAAATGATTGCCTCTGGTTAAAACAGTCACCAGAGAGAATACGTCTGTTACAATTTTAAAACACCGATTTGCATGCATTTAGGTTATTGCTTCATTATTATCTCTTAAGACTCAAACCCTCTGCTTGTCATGTCACACAACGTGTAATTAAATTCACTAAAGTTTAATGTTCTGTCTTGTCTGAATAAAAAATATTCACATGGAAGTTGATATTGAGGTCAAAGAGCTAACTTGAAAAGGAGCAACTTCTATAACTTATCAATTGGGAAGATCTGAGTCAGGATCATCAAAGCCTGATCACAAAGCAGTAGAGGCAGCAATAGTAGCTGAAATTAGTTATCTATTTTGCTGGGCAGTGCATAGTAGCAGAGGCCTCCACTGGGCCAAAAATTGGGAAGAAGTTTTTGAAATGAAGCAGCAATGTATAACACCATGGAACAAAGCACTGAAGCTTCAGCTTGCTGTGCTGTGAAGTTGAAACAACATTACTATGTGAGCTCCAGAGTCTTTCTGTACAGTTAAGCTATCGGAATGCACCAAGCTGGGGTCATGTTCTTCATCACAGGAAGGGATAACTAAACATGAGTTTTAGTACTGTTCGGTGGTTAAACTGGCATTGCTGGATACTAGGAGCACCAGAGCCAAGAGCAGTACCAACTGAGCCAGGCTGATACCCAAACTTTTAAAGTTGTACAGGACTGTAAAAAGGTATATTTTCGTTAGTTCTGCCGAAGGGTCATGGACCCAAAACATTGACTCACTTTCCTTTCTTCATAGATGCTGCCTGACCTGCTGAGTGTTCCCAGCGACTTCTGTTATTATTTCAGATTTCCAGCATCTGCAGTATTTTGCGTTTTGCAAAAGGAGAAAGTCGTGGCTCAAAAATTTGCAATAAGTCCTGGTGCTTGCGACACTGAATTAGTTTCGAAATCTACTTTTAACATGTTGACAAAAACAAAGTCCAGTTAAAAAGTGTAAGAAATCAGGAAATGAAGCTCACTAATGCCCGTTCTTTCCCGTCAAGCATTAACCTGTATCATATAGTCTACCTAATCTACTTAGAAAAAGTTCTCAATTTTTTCCTGCCCACTCCCTAAATAACAAAAATAAATAATCACTGCATTTGATATAGGACCTTATCACGTTGTTGAAACATTGTAAAAAATCTCAAAGAACTTAGTAATAACAAGATTATTACTAAAATCCAGTCTTTCTAATCTGGTTTGAGCTCTTAAAATAGTAACTAATAGCTTTATATGTTTTGTTATTTTACAGTGTGATAGCAAATTATTTTAAGAAGCTGAATATTTTCCACTTATTTTGGCCTGAGATTGGTCTGGAATTTTAAATAATTAGAAACAACTGCATTATCGTGTCCCAGAGAAGTTCATATAAATATCTTCTTCAGTGTCAAAATTGTTCAATCTATTATGCTGTGCAGAAATATGAAGTGCAGTGTTGCGCGAGGAAGGCTTATAATGATGTCAATGATGTGTTGTAAAGATGTGTAGTGCAAGGATGTACAACTGCTTCAAGGCAATTCCAAAGATTACTTGCTGTATATAGTTATGTGAATCACATACTGGTACCTTTTTGATGAATATGCTTTAAATCATTTTACCAACCTTGCAGCTGTTCTAGATAAAAACTATAGCTATTTCGTAGGAACTGAGTCATTGTGAAATTCCTCACTGTAATTTAGAACACCTTCATTTATTTCAGTCAATCTAAACATTTACCTGCCTATGATCCTTTATTGTACATCTTTTACAAAAGCAAATAGTTAAGCAAGCATGTTTTTAACATTTTTAAAATAAAAAGCCATCATCAATATCTTTCACGTGTCCCTTTCAGCTATATTGTATCCATTTACCAACAATTATCTTTGACTTAAGAGTCAACGGACCAAGTAGATTGACCCTAGAAGTGCATGCCATGATAATTGTCCTATGAAAAGCTGATATCAAATGTAGTGAGTCCAGTCATACTAATCTCTCAAACAGTTTTTAAAATCTGATTATTAACCAATATCTCGTTCACTAGCAGTCAGTTACATTGCATTTGATACTCCAGATGAACTTTACTTGAAACTCCCAGAGCGATCAGGAAATTATAATGGATTTTCCTTTCTGATGAGCGTGTCTTTGTGAAATACATGGTCAAACCGTTTGGTGACTCAAACCATAATTACTAACCATTAGAGATCGAAGGTTAAGGTCAAAAAATTTTTATAAAAATAACGTATTTATTCTTGCACTATCCTTATTTTTGCACTGTTGTATGGTAATGCTAAAGAAACCACAGTTACATTCTGTTATATAACTCGTGCTAAGATTCATTTATGGATTGTAAAAGTGAAAGCAAATACACCCAACAAACAGGACTATTAAGTAAAATATATTTTGCCAACTGAAGAAAAAGGATATATACCATCTCATTTCCAAACAGGATATCGACATAGGGGAGAATTTTCATCAGGTCCTCTTTAAAATATTGGCATAGGAACGGTGCAGAGAGACTCAGGCTGAAGATTTTATTTTTCTCTGCGGCATGAGATGCTACTTTCAGTATGGATTCCGGTGATACTGTGACAAAGAATCCCTGGAAAAAAACAAAAAATGTTGAGTAATGGCCCACAAAACTATAGAATTTTTTTGTGCAATAATAATTGCAAATGTGAATAGTTAGCATCAGATTGCACTCATGACTTCATGTCAGTATCCTTTCCATATCAAAATAATTGAACAAACACACTTTGAAACTGTTGTTACAGTAACCATTGTTCAGGTATCCAGCAAAAAGAGACAAGTTAATCCCAAATTAGTATGTTTGAATAATAAAATTAACAATGATCCACATTTTAAAAAGCTGACTAATACTTAATACATCCTACAAGTGTCAGCCTGGCTCAGTTAATAGCTTGGTTCTGGGTCAGAGTTCAAGCCTCATATTGGCACTTGAGCTCAACAACTTACAATGGAAGATGTGAACAAATAAGGTATGACAATACAGTGGAAGCTGGGTCAAAGCTGGACACACACACGACAGCCGTTTGGTCTGGCTTCACAGATGTCAAGGCTTAAGGGGTGTCTGAGCTTAGCTGAAATACCATTCCCGCCCAGCAGAGGAGCGCCGCCGCCACCATGTAATAATATGTAATGAAGCAATGTTAACTAACCAGTTAAAGTTAAAATACTCTCACACAATTTAGTAAAATATATTTACCTTTGTTTGGCTGCAAAATACAGTACAGTATTTTCCCACCTGGTAGAGCAGCAGTGGCAGCACTTCATCCCTCCCATTGCCGTTCCCATTTTTGGGCGGGAATGGAGCAATTAGTGGCAGTATTGAGGTGATTGACAGCCTGCAGCCGCTTATGAATGGCACTCCAGCCATTCACAAGTGGCTCAGCTATCAATCAATCAATCAATCAATCAATCAATCAATCAATCAATCAATCAATCAAGCAAGCAAGCAAGCAAGCAAGCAATCAATCAATCAATCACAATTTTCCCCCCTTGTTGTTCCCTGTTCCTCCGCCCCCTCACTGAATGACAGTCCAACTCCAGCTGCTTGTGAATGTCCCATTCAGTCCCTCGTGGCTGAATGGAGGCGCTCCACACCACAGAGGCCAAAGTGAGTATATTCAGCTGCGATCAGCGCAGAGGAATCCACTTTCAACACAATAAAGTTACTTGATCAGAGCCTTAGATTACGACGACAGATCTGAATTTAAGAAACTGCACAAAAGAATTGTACGTTAAAGGGTGATTCCCTGAATGCGATAGTCATAGACGAACATTGGACAAGTGCAGAATTGATTTATTTATTATACCCCTTTCAGTTGAATAGCTTACCACCATTCACTGTCAAGGGTCTCTAATGGCAATTTGGGTCAAGTTACTAGTGGGCAATGCTAGCCATGTAACCATATTTCTAGTAAAAGAGAAATAATCCAATCGACATTAGGGTAAGGAGAAGGGAGAGATAAATAAACTGTTTATTAAATAAACAATTCTTTACCAGTTCAGTATCAGGATATATTTCTACACTCATATTGATATTTATAATGCAGGATTTTCAGAAAAAAAACTCCTCTCGCCAACACAAAGNTTTTTTTCTCTCAGCTGCATACTTACTGCACATTTATCTACAAGATTTAAAAATCTTCTGATGAATATTGTATTTACAATACTTTGAAGATTCATTATGACTAATCTCATATTTATGAAACTGACTGAAAGATTAGCATAATAGCACAATTCAGCCAACAAATTTCTGTCATTCACACAGCAGTTGTCAGTTCTTAAATCAATGGTTGAAAAAATCTAACAGGAAATCATCATGAATAATTAGAAATTTTATAACATATAGTCTGAAACCTCTTTTTAATCTGTTTTATTGCTGACAAATTTGTTCTGTGGCTGTTAGGGGGACTAACTGCAATCTCTTTTTCTCTGCATGACATATCCGACAATTTAATCATGTTTTTTGTCCTATTTATTCCTCTGCCTGTCATTTTTGTGGTATTTTAATTTTAGAGCACGGCCACGTTTATTGATCCAATCTTTTAGTGCCACCTTCTGAGTTGGAAATGCAGTCACTCTTTTTAGCACATTAGTTATATTTCAGTTTCGGATTATAGATTCCACAAATTCAGACAGATTGGGATTAAATACTCAACAAATGAAAAGAATCACACCATGTGTACTTGCAAAGATTTAAGAAAAATAAGTCGTTGTGTCTACAATATCACAAAGAGTGCTACAGACAAAGCACAAATAACTAAGTAAGTGCTTAGTTTACAAGGTATTCATTGATCGAACAGAAACAATAGAACACCCCTTCACATTATAAATACATAGAAAATTATCTCTTGGATAACTAAAGAAAGTGTTGTGCAATATTGTCACCTTACATCATTTGCATGATATCACCATGCCACAAGCATTCGTTTCTTATTAATGGCAGCAACAACAACAAAATTATATTTGTAGAGCGCCTTTCACGTCGGTAGGATGTCCCAAAGTGCTGAACAGTCAGATGTTGGGGCCCAAGCATGGGGGAGGGGTGGTGTAGGGGTGAGCGAAGGCAGAGAGGTGTGAGGGAGACCAAAGACACGGTCGAAGAGAAGGGTCTTGAGACCGGCCTTGAAGGATGCAAGGGAGGAAGCGAGGCGAACGGACCGTGGGATGGAGTTCCAGAGTGTGGGGATCAAATCTCTCCACTCCTCTGCACCCCCCTAACTCTCTGATCTCCTCTCTCCTCAAAACAGCACTCGTTGGCTTCGATCCTCCAGGTCTGGCCTCCTCCTCGTCCCCCGAGTCCTTCGCTCCACCCTCAGTGGCCGTGCCTTCAGCCACTATGCCCTGAGGCTCTGGAATTCCCTTCCTCACTTCCTTTGCCTCGCCCCCTCTCTTCCTACTTTCAGGTCCCTTCTGAAAACCTTTCTTTTCGACCGTGCCTTTGGTCACCTTCCTCCCCCTCCCCCTGGCTCGGCCCCGGGATTCATTCTGTACTGTGAAGCACTCTGAGACGCCGTCCGGTGTGGAGGGCGCTATATAAATCCAAGTTGTTGTTGTTGTTGTTGTTGGGGGCAGAGAGGCTGAAAGCCTGGCCACTGATGGTAGGGCGGGTTGGGCGAGAGACATGGAGCAGGCCGGAGCCTGATGAACGGAGGAAGCAAACACTGTACGACCATTGAATGAAACTACTTACGTGTACAAAACACAAAAGATGCTGGAAATCTGAAACAAAAACAGAGAGAGCTGGGAAAACTCAGCAGGTCAGGCAGCATCTACGAAGAAAGGAAAGTGAGTCAACGTTTCGGGTCCACGACCCTTCGTCACACTTATGTGTGTCTGCCTGGCTCAATGGTAGCTTTCTCACTTCTGATTCAGAAGGTTGTGAATTCAAATCCCACGCCGGGACTTGAACTCATAGTCTAAGATGACATTCCAATGCAGCACACTGGGGTGGGGTGCCATCCTTCGGATGAGACGTTAACTGAGGTCCCATTTGCCGTTCAAATGGAAATTATTCAAGATTCCATGGCACTATTCAAAAAGAGAAATGTGTTTCTCGCCCAGGATACTGGTCAACAACCCCCACCATGTTTCATCCTAATTTGCACACAACTATCCATAAATAGCCATGAAGTGAACGACCAATTTTATTTGGGGAATTGTTGGCCAGACATAGGGAGGAACTCCCCTCTATTTTCCAGTCGTGCCATGGGATCTTGATTTTTAATATCTCATCTGAGACAGCACCTCCAACAATGCAGCACACCCCCAGCATTGCATTTGAAGTGTCAGATAACGCTATAGAAATTCCAAGTTCCGACATGGAGGAGCCCAAAAGCATCTGACTCAGAGGCGAGAGTGCTACCAATTGCCAGGCTAACACACAATGCTAATAACTGGGAATCTAACGCTTTTACATTGTGGCTACTGCCCATAATTGCACTGTTAAACAGACAGGACCCAGTCTGTAGAGATTTGTGGTGGTGAAGCACAAATCATTTTAATCATTGTTTAGTTGCTAATCACCAGAATGAATACAAATCTGATTTAAGTGAACGAGGTTTTGTTGATCAAAAGACATATTAGTTGCATTGCTGTTCCTCTACATAAATTCCTTTTGAAAGACTGTATTCAAAAGTCTGTCTGAGACAAACATAATAAAGTCCCACCTAGGATTCAAGGAATCGAGCATAAGCAATGTTTTTGTTAAGCAACAAGGATTCAAAATCCTGATTCTTAAGATCGACTCGGTTTTCTCTCCCTTGTCAAGGTAGGCTGTTAACAAGCAAAATGTAAATCAAATTAACTAGAAAAAAAAACTGCAGCATTCATTGGAACAGAGAAGGTTAAGAGGGGATGTAATTTAATAGAAATGTTCAACGTTATGAAAGACGGGCTGTGGGGGTTGAAAACGGCAACATGATCACATAAAAGTACAGGTAAGCGAGTCAGTTTGGCCAACTTCAAAGCGATGGGGAGGTGTGTGTCAAGAGCCTGCCTGACTCTGCCAGTGAGCGAAACAGAGAACACAATATAACGTCTTCAGATGATGATCTGAGACAGGATGGAATAATTTGCTATTAAACAGGCTTTAGGAGAATTAAGCAGTTTTCTTTTGCAAGCCTCCCATGCCCTCACTTTTTAAAACAGCACTTCACAACAGTTTAAAACATGTTGCTTGTTTGGTGCTAAGGATCTACCAACACAGAAACTGTTCAAGATTCACTGCATTTAATCCGTCCTAGAAAATGGCTGCCAAGGTGGCACTTAATCCTTAGTGGCACATTCACTAATTTGTTTTGTTGATTACACAACCAGAAATGGATGATTTTAATACACTCAGACTTGCAATAAATGACCTAAAAACAGAAGGAACAAAGTGTCCTGAAATTCATGGAGCAGAGTCTGAAAGCCATAAAATCAATCACTTAATACTACCAAAATAGCAACCATATGCTGCAAAAAACCAGAAACTATTTTGGCTGCCAGCAGTCCTGGCTGCTTGCTTGTAAAAGTATTTATCTTCTTTTCTACAAGAGACAAGACTTACAATAATTTTCTCCATTCTTTATAGCT